CGAACAGCTCCGCAATGCTAAGTTTGATTCGAGCACAGTGATAGAGTCGTTCGACGTAACGTCTCTTTACACTAATATGCAGAACGACCAAGCTTTGCAAGCGCTATCGGAAATGTTGGATGAGTATGCTGGCACGATAAATATGTTTGGACTCAGCAAGGCAAACGCGATGGCCCTAAGCGAGTGTCTGAGCTGTAACATCTTCAGATGGTCTGGGACTTACTATTCCCAGATACGTGGATTAACTATGGGCCAAAGACTAGCACCAGCTCTTGCCATATGCTTTATGAGTAAGATCGAAGAGCCGGTGTTAGCGCGAATGCCACTGCTGTATTGTCGTTACATCGATGATTGCTGTGTTGTGACATCCACACAATCTGAAATGGACAAGTGTTACGAGATTTTGAATCAGCAATCACGATACATCAGGCTCACGCTCGAGACACCACACGACGGCTGGCTGCCTTATCTGAACGCGCAGATAAAGTTGACCGATGGCATTGTAAGCACCAAGTGGCACCGCAAGGAAAGCTCCAAAAACATCCTCATTAACGTCAAGTCCGCACACCCTGCATCTGTCAAACGTGCTGTCCTTAGGAATATGTTCAGAATGGCAATGCAGACGTGCAGCGGAGAGGATGAACGGCGTGAATCACGAAAGCTGGCTACCCAAATTGCTTGCAGCAATGGCTACCATCCCTCACCACATATTCGACATCTAAAAAGTGGTGAGCACCGAGCTGAAAACAGACTTCCACTTTGCCTGCCATTCATCTCCGATAAGATCAGCGCGGCTATTCAAAAATGCATAATTCGTGCACAGCTGCAAGATGATGTTATGTTAGTCAACATCCCAAGCGACAACATCAAACAACAGCTGGTGCAAAATCGGCTCTACGATCGTTACTGTATATCTAAGCAGTGCGTTGTTTGTCCGCACGGGAGACTGGGAGACTGCGCAAAGATGGGAGTTGTGCATCAACTCGAGTGTTTGAGCTGCAATGCACGTTACATTGGAGAAACAGGAAGAATGCTTAGCATTCGCGTAAAAGAACATCTTACAGATAAAAGGCGAAAGAACATGGCTTCAACGCTTGGCAGACATAGGCGCGAGGCGCATGGTGATGAAGATTTTGACATTAAAGTCACGATTCTAACATTTGAAGAGGAGATCTCAGCTAGGAAAGCTATGGAAGCCTTCTGGATTTCTGCGAAGAATCCAGAAATGAACAACAAAAACGAATGTCTATCAATAACCGCTGACTTTCTCCCGTTTGTATCATTATGCGAGTTACGATTGTAGATCATTTACCATCCAATGCAGTATAACTCATTCGTTCGTCGCACCGTCTCCTTCCGGTACGGACATCTGATGGCGAAGCGGTGGTTCCCTGGTATGTCTTTGCTTTCGCGATTTTTCTGGCAACTAGATTGGGTGAAGGCCGAAAACTGGCAGAACTAGGGGAGACATTTGGTGGGCTGGACTCACTGATGAAGCTCAGAACCATTCTAGGCCTCTGACGAAGACGAAAGCGTTGAAACGTAAGGCCGTTGATACTGACTAATAAAGGACCACCTACCAACCTGTACGGCACAAGAAGAACACACAATACATACGAAGAATGCCCAGGTTCAAAACAGACGGAACTTGGAAACTACTCCAAATTTGATTTTTCTGCATAGGGTCTTAAAAAAAATCCTAAAATTCGTCCTAAAATTTGCAATAAAAATCTAAGCAATTGGTATTAAGGTAATCGTTCCATTATCTGCTCTTTCGAACTGGGAAAGGTTTGTGCTGATTAAATTTTTTATGAAAAATTGACTTTTTCGGGCAAGCAATACCAAAAGGCAATTCTAATTTATTGGGTTGTAAAGAAAGTTCCCGGGCACATGCGAAAAATTTTTTAAATCGCTGTAACTTCAAGCAGATTGTATCTTCTTTGAAGCTACAAACTTCACTGCAAAGACAACTTTGTCCACAACATATATTGTCTTGCTGGCTTCTCAGCACCTCACTGCGGTCCACCAGCATGCGCAGAATGGATGGTCGTCGCGAAAAGTGGTCTATTTGTGCAGGATTATCTCAGGCAGGATTTGAGCTGGAAAGCCCAGATGCTGTAGTTATATAGGTCTGCTGGGGCTATTATGGGTATCTTCACGTTTTTGAAGGACCAGCTGCAAAAAAATTTTGCCCAGAAAGTTAGAAAAATCTACCATTTTTTGCCCCTCAAAATGCACCATTTTTCGAGTAAGTGATTTGAATCCTTCTAGTTCTGCACAGAAAGACCAAATCTTTGATTAATGGAAACATCGTTGGGGTAATGCCTTGCACACTTTTTGGACCCATCATCCAGGCGTGGCGATCCCTGCAGAAGCGACCAGCTGCGAAAAGAGTTGCAGTCAAAGGCAAGTTCGACAGCTTGTAACTCCTGAGCGCAGGTCGCAAAACCCGAGCGCAGCTGCAGGTCAGATGTTGACAGGCTTCTCAATCAGATCACCCATGATTTGGACGAAATTCCTTGAACTGCACAGAAAAATAGGCACAGGAAGAAAAATTGTGAAATTTTTGTGGTTGAAAAGATTCCTCTTCTTGATTGCAGATCAAACACGTCTTGGCATCGATAAAAGTCAGAAGGCGTATTGAAAACTTCAGGCTCCCGCTACTGAACAGTATAGAGAACTTGGTGTGAAAGTTCGACCGAGCGCCGAAAAAATGCGTTTGAAAATGAAATTTTCAAAAGTGCCCGGGAACTTTCTTTACAACCTAATATTTTATCATTTTTCGTTAATCATAACTTTTGATAGACGCGATGAATCAGCACAAGCTTTGCATAGTTCGAAATAGCAGATAATGGAACCCATAATACCAAATGCTCTGATTTTTATTGCAAGATTTGGATTTTTTATGACCCTACACGGAAAATTTAGATTCGAGTAATTTTCTTCTACCGGTACTATCTATGCAACAGATGACCATTAGAAGCAGCTAAGATGTCATTATAAAGAGCATGATTTATTCTTTCATTTCAAATAAAGCAGTCAAATCGACTGAAAAAACCAGGAACGATATCCACGAAAGTCCATAATGGAGGAAAATGGACTTCCAAATCCCATTTTATTCGCTCGCGGTGGAAACTAGTCGGAATCTACTTTTGTTAGCGTTATCCAAAAATTTCTATCTCATCGCAACCACGAGGCAAAGCGGTGTGATGAAAATGATTCAACCCTACTTGAGCTCTCGCTTGCGAAAGAGTCATGCGAAAAGTCCATTTAGAATGGGGCAAAATGGGATTTACCTCCATTTTAAATGGACTTGAAAGCCCATTTTACTCCCAGCAGCAAGGTGAGCTGGGACTAAGCCCATTTTTGACCCTTTTGCATATTTTTGATAGCGACTTTTTGAGAATGTGTTCCTTAGCCAATTCTAGGTTAACAAGTGAGTGTGAAAAGTTTCATGTCTTTTATGAAGTCTGAAATAAGTGTTTCTTTTCATATTCACACAAACGCTATAAAAATCATGGAAAAAGGTTAAATTCACCAAAATATTCGCTAACAAACTCAAATGCTTCCAAATATCAAGTCGATGCGAAAATTCCTATGTAAATCAAATGAAATTTGTTAACTCTTCAAATTATTAACCAAAACTAAATTCATAATTTGTATTTGAAAATAAAAATGAATTGCGTTTTAATATAATTACTCAGAAGCTATTCTTTTGACTAATATCGCATAACCGAACCTCAAAGACTGCATTTCAAACGCGATTTTGAGTATGGTCGCAAAAATTACTGAAATGGCACTAGCTAGCAAGAAAATTCTGTCAAAAATTTCCTTCTAGCAATAGTCCATACATTCAACTACTTAGAGTAATAAACGCGTTAGTGTTAAGAGACAAAGAAGAGCTAAAGTAGAAAATTTGCGGAGTCATCTTTTTGCAGATTCGTAGTTTTTCCTCTTTAAAAAACTCTTTGGTTTGTAATGAGCACAAGGTTTCCTATGAGGTAAGCATTTTAAATCACGGATCGCAATGCAAGTCTAGTTTGCTTTCTGCAGAAAGCTCTGCATATAGATCATAGATGCATATCCATATATATATGGATTTGATTTTATGTAGATTCATAGCAGCCTTGAAAGACGAATGCTCGGATGTTACATGTATTTTAGTTGAATGGAAGTATTTAGATGCCTAGTCATAGATAATGAATGACATAAAATATCCACGTGATTGTCATTGTGATGTTAGGTCAGCCCTAGTTAGATACCAACCACTTGGTGGAAATGAGTTTGCGAGAGTGAGTAAACGGGTTGAGGCAAGTTAGAGGAAAGTTTGCTCAAACATTTTGTATGGAATGAATGGATTCGCAAATGCGATATCTTATCGCACCGCAGGGATTAAGTCCATTTTATTCGCACGAAAAGCCCATTTCGCGGGGACTTTCGTGGATATCATTCCAGAAGTTATGAATTTTTGAATTATGCGAACGAGCTTTCGGGACGACCTAGTATATACTTATATTTATATGCTTGGATATATAATAAAGGAAATGCCGCAGCGCGTACGCAGTGCCCCTTTGTGATGGGGAACAACGCTCCCCTTGCCCCATGGATGTTCATGACGGAGATACAATTTTCTTTTTCATCTGTTGAACATATAGATCTTTTCAAATAACACTCTAAACTTTAGGTAAAACAAACTTTGTGTATAAAACATCCAAAAGCTTGTTTCAAAGGGTTTTTGAATTGGAAGAAGAAATAGTTTGCCGGTGACAGATACAGTTAAGAATTATGAGACAACTACTTTTGAAACAAGATTTTGGATGTGTATACTACGTTACTAAATTATGGACAGTCAAGGGAAATTGCAAAACTCAAACAGCGAGATCTGAATGCCAGCTTCACAGATCTTTTCCCTTGTCGAGGAAGTGCGAGCACACGGGCTTTAGTCGACAAGGACGCTTTAAATTTGGCATGGCTTTTCATGAAAAAGCTGACGTGATTACCTGTCGTTGCAGAGGTGCTCACACTTGGCATTTACACAACGGTCTCCTGGAAACACTGCGTTATGATCCGTTTTAGGTTTGCCTGCAATGGTGAAAACATCTTTAGAAGTTGAGTCGAAAACAACAAACCAGTCATGTATGGATATGATTGAGTAATCTCAATTGATCCTTGACAGCATCGTGTGAACGATTTTAAGCAAGCAGCAGAGAATCCTGTCGGTGCCACACATGGCTGATTTTTGTGAAGGAGGTCTTTGGCAAGCAAACAGCAATCGCAGCATTCCTACAATGTAGCATATCGATCACATTATACACTCTTCCAAAACTCTGTCCGCGGAATCTTGAGAATCTTTCTTTCAGGTCCATGATGCGGATAGAAATTGTTAATCAGCCAGCCAGCTTTGGGATCCCACTACTTTCCAGATATTTGCGATTGCGAGTACAAACTTTTTGGCGATGCTTGAATTATGCCAGATAATGACTGATTAAACTATGCTTTGAAACGTGCACTTGAATGGTTTTCAGTGGGTGACGCGCTACATTGGCAAGTTTTCTTCAGGGCCTCGACCATATTGGTAGGCTGGGCGTAATGTTGACGCCTCTAGACGCATATTGTTCGCAAGTTGTTTCTTCTTGGCTAAGGCTTGGCAAAGGTGGCTTACGGATGCGTGCGCATCATTTTCGGGGTAATAAAAAGCAGGGGGAGGGGAGATGTTGTTTTTGTGGAATTCGTAGCGAAGCTTAAGGAAAGTGGCTGTTCTTCAACACCCTTCCTTATCAAACAAGACTATCCTTGTTCTCGCATGAGTCTCAGGGGCGCATTAACATCTGCGCTGAGTACGAAGCGCAGCTTATAAAAAAGCTATATCCTGAATCTCCGAAGTTGTTAAGTTCATACAGTCTATCCATTCTCAAGTGCTTCTACTACGCTTTACTGAAAACATATTGAACAGGGGCGAAAAGTTTTGCAAGTCGCTTTTTACAGTTTTTTGGATGATTCTGGAGGGTCGACCGTCTTTTCTTGAAGTCATTTTCCTTTTTAGAGTCAATGAAAACATTTCAAAGTTGCACTGATTATCTAACCCAACAGCGCTGAGCATGCTTCTGATAGCAACAAAGAATGTATCGAAGTTATGAGATTTGCAATGAACCACCAGACTAAAGTCGAGGTCGAAAACCTCAATGTGACTGACGAAATCATCCACTTCCATTAGAAATATGCTTAGCAGTGTTGGGGTAGATAATGGGTATAACTTTGAAAAGTTTTCGTCGAATTCGAAGGAAAAAAATGACTATAAGGAAAAGACAATGGGCCACCGAGGATCATACAAAAAGCTGGAGCTTCTGTACAGTATGTTTATAGTAAAGGATAGCAGAAACACCTGAGAATGGATAGACCATGTAATAAAATCAGAACTCTGAGGCTTCAAGATATAAAGCTTCCTTACAAAACCCAATGCCAACCCTAGCGGAGCTTCAAATGCATGCACCCCTACAATATACACTCCCCAACTCCCTTCCCTCCCCCTCTCCCCCCCTCTACCCTCCACGATCACCCCCTCACAATCTTCCCTCTTTACTCTGACCTCCTCGTCCCCTATAAACGTCGCAAGTGCTCAAGACTCCCTACCGTCCTACAAAATCAGGAGTTTCCTGTTTTAATATGCTTTCCGGCTTAACTTTTTGTAAAGTCAAGTGGCCTAGAGCCATCTGAAGACCCCTTAACGTGGCTTAGAGAAAATAATGTTGTAAATTCTGGCTTTCCTGATATAATTTTTTCAAAGTATTTACAATATATTAATTAACACCTTCTCACTCATTTAAAGGATTTTAGATCCCAGACTCTCTCTTCGCTTAATTAGAGCCCCCCCCCCCAAAGTTTTTGAGTGGCAGCAGAATGCTGACTGACTGTGACGTAGTTAAGATCTGACTACCTGAAGGTGTAGGATATCAAGTAGATAGCTGTATAGGACTGTTGCTTGGAGTTTGAATTACAAGCTTGAAATCGACTGTTCAAGCTGACAAATCTGAATTCGTCTTCCAAAATCACTACGCCTAGAAATAAGAGTGAAGCTGCGTTGCAAAAAATGTGAAAAGAAAGTGCCGGCTACTAAGACAGTAACCTTATAGATGGGTATCATAACTGAGAAACTCAGTTCCATATAAAAATTATACATTAGCGTTTGCGGACAGAATTTTCGAGGTAAATTGTTTGTAATCTGATGTTAGTTTCAAGGGAAGAAGCGTTAATGCCGCGTATAATAAGAATTATTCCTTTTATGAAGCAATCTGAAGGAAATTAGAAAGTAACGAAAACAGCTAGGGCATCTATGCTTGCTGCACTCGTTCAACACGTTTCGTCCCTTAAAATGCCTGGTAAGCGAAGAAGTATCGAGTCGTTCCAAAAGTTCTTTTCCTTTTTTTCAAGCTATGATAAAAACGCTATGAAATTCAGATGGCGGATGTTTCATACTCATTTTCCAAACTATCTACTCTTCCAGTCACTTGAGTGATCGCCGAGATTTCGAACCCATTTAACCTGCGCATGTTTGGCAATTTTCATTATCAACTTATCCAGAGGCTCAAAATTCTCATTTTGAGCCTCTGGATAAGCTTTATGGCAGATCGATTAAGTAATTAGAGTAAAATTTTTGAGTTCTTTTGCTATGTATTTAAGATTTTTTGAAATTAGTTATTTGATGGTACCAAATCCCATATTTACTAGGTTGTCTAATAAGTTTTTATTTTCAATTTTGAATCTTTACCGAGATAAATCACACACTTCTCAATTCTGATTAGAATGCAAGGTACCGTCCGATAGAGCAAAGCTGTACAACATCCATGTAAGTGTTCGTACCAACTTCACCACATCACAAATTAGCCGAAGTCTGAGAACTTTTGGATGCCCGGAAAATTGAAAAATTTTTGTATCTTTGTTCAAAGAAGACTTACTAGATCCTAAACTTGCTCACACATATACGCTCCACATAAGACATTCATATATGCCTTTGCTGTGTTTGTTTTTGTGCTAGAAACCGAGAAAATTGAAGTTTCCAAGCTTCCAAGAAAGGGTTGCTGCGCTGTTCTCGCATATCAATGTATACTACAGCCTTCAGAAATACACCGGCTTACACGGCATCTTGTACAGGATGCCTTGCTCTATCGAATGGTACCCTGCGTTCTAATTAGAAGTGACTTATTGCGGTAAAAACCAAAATTGAAGAAACTTATGAGATAACCTGATTATCCAAACCTCATCGAACATAAAACAGGGAGCAACTGGGACGACATTTGACGCAGCTTTTTCTCCCATTCTTGATAGCCAATTTTCTTTCCTGATTTGTGAAGTCAGGAATAAACTCATCATATTTTTGTTTCTGAAGGCACCTTAGACTGTACACGGAAAACTCAAAATTTGATTTTGAAGCGATAAAAACTCATTTTCTCTTCAAAATTAGTGTTGAATCATGATTGATTTCATCGATGTTTCAAATCCTAAGAAGTTTTTAATTTGGTGCGTGTACTTCACGACTTCGCAAAAGTGAAGACTTTTGGAAAAATTATTATGAAAAATAATGGAAAGCCAGCTGGAGACGGTCACATAATTCGTTGTGTTGCATTAGAAGAACATGACTGCTGTTGCTTAACTGACCATCCGACAACATTATTGCTGAAAGGAGGAAGAAAAGTTGCGTCGAAGAGTCTTTGAAAAGTTTGCGTATTTATATTCGACAGGATTTCATGATAGCTCAGAAGAACAGAAAGATTTTTGCGCGACCTAATCTCAATTAATGATTGCATGCCAAAGAGTAGACCAAATCATTTGTCCTATCAACCGTGTAATCGAATTTATAATCTAATTCTTGACCTGCGTTATAGCAAAAGTCCGTGAGATCACTTTACGGCATGACAGTATCAAGTAATTCGAATAATTATTTCTTTGCTCTTAATACTCCTACAAGCTTTGAGCGTTTCGCAACATTTCCCATTCTTTCAAGGTAGTAAGTAAGATGATGTTAGTTTTGAGAGTAGGGATAGTACGATCACCTAGCAACATCTAGGAATTACACTCCTCTATGTTTAAACAGCTATTCAAACCCACTGATAAGTTCTAATTTATTCTATGTAATCAAATCGAACGAAAAAAGCCATCTATTTTCATTCACTCTATTCGCGGAAGCAATCATTTATAACACTTACCCATGAGATTCTGTCATAATCCGATTCATGCCCCTAAAGTTGTTAACTTCAGCATTTTTTAAGAATTTAACTCTCAAAAAGAAGTACACAATACGCTGCTACAATTACCTTATCTTTATGTAGGATCAAACAAGAAGTGTGGCCATTTGATAGAAGATCTACAAAAGCGCGAATTTCTTTGAAATCGCAGAAAAAATTGGCGGCATCTAAAGATACAGGCAAGCTTTCAAACACTTTTAGGCGTTGAAAATGGCAAGTTATCACGGTACGAAGAGAGATGCCGACAGTTGGTCGAGAAGACATGTAAAATGGATGGCAAGGTGAATACCACTCCAAGAGAGAGTTGTTGGAGAGAGGAAGAAATTTTGCATCGGCTGCTTTCTGCAGCGTTTATCTTCTATTATAAAGGGATTGCCGATAGGTTTGAAAAACTGCACAAACTTTTGGTGAGCTAATATACTTCGCTACTTCGTCTGGCTTTTTTTTCACGGATCTAGTGCGTAAAATGGTCAAAATGATGTATTGGGGTATCTCATAATTTTTAGCGTTTTACCCTAAACATCAGCATTTTTTTCGAGAATTGGGACCCCTACAAAGGATACAATTATGTGGTCGTACTTCTGTGTGTATGAGCTATTAATCACGTGCGTGGGGGAGCTCAAGACGTCTAGGTAGCGGAATTCGCCATATTACTGCATTTTCTTCTTTATTCCTAGCCGTAGAATATTACGGAAGGTGTATAACTGAATATTCGATGTGTCAAGCATATGCTACGAAAAAGGGGAATTTTTGTGATTTTTTTCGGACAGAGATACGATGTTTGATAGTAAACCTCGTTTTCGACTTCAGCTCAAAACTGCACGTAGAATACGATTTGGGCAGACTCTTGATAGCCTTTTGTAGAGCTTGCTTTGCTTCGCCGAATGATCACTCAAGGTACATCAATTGAAGGAAAGATACAAAAAGACGACGATTGTAGTAAAAACGATTGAAAAAATTATGAGACACCCTAATACCAATACAAAAAACAAGTCGGATTGTTTTGAAAGCAAAAATATAGTGATAGCTACACTGAGTGCTTGATCCATCATATAAGCTTATTGTTTTTGTCGGGAATCAGACATCATGATGATGGTTGCAGGGGTTGAAATGGACAGTACGAAATGATTCACTGCGTGCATTGTGTGACTATTATACGTTTTCGCTACTTTTTGCCACTGTGCTGGTTTTCCTTTCTCTTTAAACTTTATGGAGAATAGGAGGCTATTCAGGAAACCTTTCTAAGTCCACCTCCCAATGTATTTATGCTGGAGGGACACATCTCGTCTTGTCGAGCAAGTGCCGTGCCTTCTTCGCAGGCGGAATCTAACAGCGCACGTAAGCAGCAGATTGATGCTGTTCTGAAAGTTATACTTGTTACCATTGAATGAAGATTTATCACTATTCAATGTGTATCTGGCACCTGACACAAGTCGCTGTAGTACCTTCTGCCTTGATATTGGAGCATGTTTGTGTTTGTATAAAATGTCGAGATCCTCCTGAGCAACACCTTGATAGTTCGTTGGCACTAGCTACCCATGTCACTAAAATTTGAGTTAAACATGACCTATAATATAATTTTTTGGCTTCCAAAGTCTTTTTTTATCAAAGATGTGACAGAGCGCTCTGCTCCACAAAGTACGATTTGAATCTGATTGCCCATAAAATTTCCACTTAGGGTAGAAATTTAACACTTTTTGCGAAAGTATTCAACTACTAAAAAATAATTAGGATTACACAGCAATATTACAGTGGTTAAAATGACAAATTTTAGGTTTGGCACATAAGTTTTGCAGCTTTGATATAACTTTTTTTTGAACGAAGTGCACTGGAATTCCGGGATCATGTAAAGAAGTGAGCTACAAAACCGGCAAAGTGTTTAACATTTTATGATGAAATGACTGAAGGGCCCTTATTGTGCTGCGTGCCTGAGAGAATCGTGCGATATAAGGCCTAAGGCATAACTAATGCGATTTTGGTCGCTGTGCGACCTGTCACTGCAAGAACTCTTCATAGCTGGTCGTAAACGCACTTTGCTTTGGCCAGTGTTGCTGCGTCTGGTACAACTTACGAAGTCTATGCGCTCATGCAACTGAGAACCGCGCCTGCTTAATCTGTAAACATGTGGCAAATCGCCACGTCGCGGGGATGTGGCGATTTCGCGAACTCGTGGAGGTATGCCTTAAAGGATCGCTTTCCGAATCTTAATGAAGCGTCTGAACAGCTCGTTAATGAGTTCGAAAAAAGTGCGGCTTACATACCTGAAAACAGGATACGTTGCAATGCTATGGAACCAAAAAAACGAAATCAAGTTTGGTCCTTCCGTGAGCCTGTTTTACGTTCGTACTACTAGAGATACATGGTCGATTAATTGTGGAGCACCTCGTATTATACACTCTTTATTCTCTGAGACTTTTTCTAGAGTTAATACAGCAAGCTCTTTGATTTTACAAGGAAACGATACTCAGTGTACGTGGCCATTTGAAATGAAATGGATGCCGTTACACTCGTTTTGGAGCGCTGATTCCGATTGACTTCTATTTTTTTGATCATTTCTCTGAAAGTAAGTTATAAAGGTTTTTTGAGCCAAGGGAGACATGGTCGAAAAAAAAACAAAAAAGTCAGAAAGTCAGTCAAAACATGGTCAAACATGGTCAGCTTTAATGTGGGGTAGCGGCTGGTCCGATAGTCTCACAAGTTAATGCAGGTTTAGGTTCAAGTCCTTCTGTTTTCCAGTTTTGCATTGCCTCAATCAAACTTCTTTTGGCATTCTCGACCGCATTTCTCTTGGACGAACATAGACGCGAAAATCTTTCATAACTTCTTTAAAAGAAACGATTAGCAGAAAAGGAAGTCAGATTCGGAATACGCGTTCCAAGATGAGTGTGATGGTATAGGTTTCATGTCAAAAGGGCACGAATACCAAATATCGTTCCCTTGTTAGAGTGAATGCTATAATGAATTCTTTTCGTTTGTTCTTGAAATTGTACACATTATAAGAATTGAGAATAGATAGCAATACGGCGGAATGTCCCAAATCAAATAACAATGTCAACTTCCGGAATTGGATTACTCGCTTGCCTTTTTTTCTTTAGTAACTGATATTACCTTTCCGATAACCTGCGAGAGTAAACGCGTCATAGATTGGTTGTGTAAGAACAAATAATTCGATGAGTCAAGTGCAGGTCCGGAACTTGTATACGAAATAAGCGATAGTTTGCGCAAGTTTCAAGCCAAATTCTTTCTAGCATTGCAATATAACCTCGTCGTGTTATTATAACGCACATTTTATTGCTGTAATCTATCCTTGAGTTTTCAGATATTATTATATCACGCGCATTTCACCGTTGCAAATTCTGTCCTTGAGTTTTTAAACTGTGTAAAATTAAATGCTTTAGTTTTTGTAGAGAGTTATAGTGAGCGATCTCGTCAGCTGAAGAATGTCCTATCCTAGGGCTATTGATAAAAATTATCCATGGCGCTTTTCTATAGAATTTTTGGTCCCTTTTTATGGCAGTTCTTCAGAGTGAGCATGTAACATACGGCTCATAATCCTATCGCATTTTTCGAATGAAACTTTATTTACTGGAATCACCTTGGAACTTCAATTAGATTTGCAAGGCACAAATTCCTGCGACTTAACAAGGCTTTCCTAGATAGCGCTTGCAGCTTTGCTTCGTTCGGGCAAGTTTCAAACATCACGAAATAGGGCTCGCGCGTTGAATTGCTATCCTTCAAAGAGAGCGGGGAATTCTGACTTGTAGCTATGTAATAGAAACTTCTGTATCGATCAAAGCTATAACCATTGGTGTGCATCAGACACACGTAAACGGTAGCAGTATGTTCCAGGTGCGTTCATCCATAGTCATACCTCTGACAACCCATCACTTTTGATCAAAAGTCTTCTCTTGTTAAAAAAACAGAAGTCAAACCTAAGATTGAGCTCCATATAAAACGAAATCGCATCAGATTCATGTTCGTAAATGCGGTTCTTGAGCCCTTTCTTTGTCCAGTTCGAAAATTTTCGTATCGTGTTGTGTTAACAGCTGAAAATAAGCAAATAGGACAAAACCCAGAATCATGTCGAAAACAAGATTATGATACAGAAAAACAAAACTCAGATTAGAACCAACATGAGAAAATATTCACTTCGAGTAGAATAGCAGTAGCAAAAGGAGACGAACACTTTAGGTATGAGACTCCGTTATGACTGACAAAGATCAAGTGCCCACGAGCCGACCACACCTAACCCCTCAAAGAACAGATTATGAAACAGGATAGACAGTAATAAAATAAAATAAAATGTTTTAGGTGTGAGGCGCCGTGAATAAAGATCAAAGGCATCGTACACCCAAATCGAAGATGATGAGATTTTGATGTTATATAATAGAGGTTTTCCTAACTAAGCAATCACCCAAGCCTCACGCAACAGATGAGTTCTGAAGCGAGGAATCCGTTTAAGATGACCACGATAACTGCGCCCATCAATGTGGATAGTCTAAGGGTTCATTCGCAAATTCCGGAACATTTACAGCGCAGTTGTCGCATGTCTGAAACTGCTCCGAAATTGTGCTGCATGCAGTTTTGGCGCCGCAAAGTGGCAATTCTCAATTTTCTTCATCGGTTTGTCTCATTCTTGCACCTCGCTTGCTCTCGTGATGAAAAATGGCCTAATCGTAAGCTTGGAGAGAGGTACAAGAATGAGTGCTATTTCGTTATGTACGTCAGGTTGAAAACTGTCACAAACTGACACTGATTCCATCCGTGTACATTCCTCCAAACAAGAGTTCTTATATCAAAAGCGGACGGTAATCAAGAACGAACAGCAAATGATTGTGAGAAGATATGGTTGAAAACGCCCAAAAGTCTAATCTTATAAAAACACGAAGAAAAGTGAGTTACTCTATGAAGGCAGTTCGTGATATCGAGGACGCAGCGACATACTGAAATACAAAAAGAATGTTCTCCAAAAAACTTACGTAGGAGAGGAGATGCGCGAACATATGTTATGCACTACAAAACAATAGTTCCATTCTCGAATCTCACTTCGAGTTTGGAGCTCTCTTCGTCACAATAAGAAGTAAGGTAAAAGAATGAGACGAAAATCGGTAAAATACACAATCAAAGCCGTTCAATAAAATCAAAAAATGCCATTTCGCGCAGCTCAAAACCGCATGCGGGCGGCTGAAGACGCAGCACAGTTTCGGAACAGTTCCAGCGCAGTGCGAGGACTGTGCTGGAAGTACCAGAACTTCCCGATCAGTATGAACCCAGCTCAAAGATAAAAACTCCAAACTTGGGTTTTTGGTGTATCCAGATCATGAACTCGTCCTTCATTATTATCAACGAATCTGCGATATTTTTATTGTCCCCTTAAGTCCAATTTCGGGCTTTGATTTTCGGACCACTCACCTTGGTGCGAGTCATCGTGGCTGCTTCTACTCCCGAAGCGAGCGGTTCTCCTGTTTGGAGTTCATCTATTGCGGCGAGACTTGGGTTTTGCTCATAAAGCTTCCTGATGCTTTTCTGCAGTAAAAATGGTTTTGGTTTTTAAGGCCTTAACACCTGATTGTCCCGTGCCTTGAGCACCAGCGTAACCGAGCGGTTCTCGCAAACTGCTGGAAACCTTTATACTCCATTGCTTTTTCACTACGGCTGGTTTAAGGTTAAAGCTGCTCAACGCTGTTTTGCAGACATTTGCATTGGCGATTTGGAAATCTTTTATATAGCTTACGCTAAATTTATTCTTTTATCCTTCTTATGCTGTCTTTTTGCTATCCATCTCAGCTTCTATACGCGTATTTCCTTCCATATATCCCACAGTATCCGCTGTTCACTATCTTTCAAGACATTTTCTGTCAACTTTCGTGTTGTGTTCAACATTGTGAAGTGTTTCAACGAAAACTCTTTTCAGAGGTTTGAAAAAATATATGCGAAAGAGGTGTGCGCTTATGATTACTTACAACAAGCCTATAGCGCTTCGTGTCCCAACGTTTCCAGCTGCCTTCATGTTGGTAGTCGAAGCTTCGAGTCTGCGGTAAGTTTCTTACAAGACCTGTGCGTTTTTGTTTCTTGAGCTAATCAAAGGCGTCAAATCTCTAAGCTTCGTTATTTCATTGCATGAAGATACAAGTTTCTCACCCTTTATACTCCATTGCTTTTTCACTACGGCTGGTTTAAGGTTAAAGCTGCTCAACGCTGTTTTGCAGACATTTGCATTGGCGATTTGGAAATCTTTTATATAGCTTACGCTAAATTTATTCTTTTATCCTTCTTATGCTGTCTTTTTGCTATCCATCTCAGCTTCTATACGCGTATTTCCTTCCATATATCCCACAGTTACACGTACACCTACAACGGCTCAAACACAAAAAGGTGAATGCACTTAAACATGTATTTCGATTAGCATAGAGGATGAATTACAATTAAAACGCGACATTTGCCGCAGACTTTCGCCCCGTGTGATTCCGTCAGATCAAAGGATTGTTTAGTATTCTTGGACCTTGATGTTCGGCATCTGAGTAAACCTACTAGGTTGTATAATAAATTCTGTCCCATTTTTTCTTTCGATTTTGTTTACAATTTTTTGCAAATCGTTTTGCAAAATATAAATATGAATTTAAAAACTCTGAGTTTGCTCTACCAAAATCTTCACTTCATTTCCTATATCCTTTCAGTTCAAAATTTGGAAAGTCAAAGGGGAAAAAATTTCATTTTCGACGACTAAAGTGGGTCGTCCTTTCTTCAAGCCGAATGCTTACAAAACTGCTCAAAAAATCTGCTGAGAGTAAGTAAAGAATGCTATAGCTTCTGCAGAGGTTTAAAAGTGCACGAAAGTTCCAAATAATTTTTCTTAAAAACCAAAAAGTTTTCTTTTTAAACTCTTTTCAAATGTTGACGTTGGGCATTCAGGACCGTCCTCCTGAGAAAGGACGGTAGACGGATAATCGTAGGACGGCATCTGGTTATAAAATTATCGATTTCATGAGCTGGTAACTCAAAAAATTGATATTTGAGGCCACCAGCTCAGCTACGCGAGGCGACGAGCATCGCCACAGCAATTCTTGCTTTGCCGATTTCTGAAAAAATGACGTCAACGTCGGTAAAAGGAAGGGATTAAGCACAAACAGTGTGACATCAAAATCTAAGAGTTCAATAGGTTGTTTTGTTTGCTGTCAAGCTCGTTGAATGAGAATCACCAATGAAAAACGGGAAAATTTGTGGAGGAAAAAGGTGTCGAAAATGATTTTTTTGCCTCCTCGGATTTTTTCTAGTAATGCCAACGATCGTTTTTAGAATCCTTTGAGTTGGTGGATGACGCATACGAATTTGCAGAGCAGACTTAGGGCTTTACACTTTATTTCAAATAAGGTAATTTTTATTGATAGAAAATTGAAGAAAAAATGGGACGGGACTTATTACACAGCATAATATATTCCGGTAAAAGTACTGACATAATAAAAGTCCAACAAACTGCCCAACACTTCAACAAAATGAAAAAAGGAGATGGCTTGCAAAATGTATGCAAAACTTTCTCTCACTCTTCTTTTGTTCCAACTGTAATCAGAATAGGAATAGGTGAGGTGGTTCCTGCACTGCTCATATCAACCTTTCCAAAAATAAAAATGTTACCAAAAATCGCAATACTGATGTCTTTCTGACATTAAATTGAGAAATGTTGGAATACATAATGTCCTTAACTCACACTTGACATACGTAGAGCTCTCAATTGCAACTATTTGAAAGCTACTTACGATTGACTCTGAGATTCCGCATAGGAAGTTTCAAAAGCTAATTCTTGTGCACTAAGTGCCAAACCAAGCTGCTCTAACAATAAGCAATAGCACAAAAAACAAAAATACACTATTGGCGATTGAACATGCCATATGAAAACACATAGGAATAAGCACATACCATTCTAGAACTTTCAACTGAGTGCTAAACTCAGTTTGGAACATACAGACAACAATATGTCCAAATTTGTCTCTTAGGCTGGGTTCATACTGATTCCCATGTTCTGGAACTGTTCCCGCACAGTTCTCGCACTGTGCTGGAACTGTGCGGGAACAGCTCCAGAACTGTGCTGCATGCGGTGCAGCCGCCCCGCACCGTTTTGAACGGCGGGAGTTGGGGAATTTTGACCGTTTCCAACGGTTTTTCTTTCAGATTTCTTTCATTTTGGCCTTATTCCTCCACCCCGCTTCCCATTTTGATCAGCAGAACTTCTATCTCGAAGCAGGGTTGAAGAATGAGCGCTTTTCTGTTCTGTGTATGCGACAAAACGTGTGTTCTTGTGCTCGTCCATTCTCTCTTCGCTATTTTTGCTCAAAACTACTTCATTTGTTTCAGGAAGCGGCTGCGTAGTTTCCATAGCTATCTGCCACGAATTAGGGAGTAGGGGCAATTTTCAAACTGCTTGAATTGGGACTTGTCTCTTGCTTTTGATGATTTTGGGCGTTCTCAGCCCCTTTCGTTTTTCCATACTGTTGCTTTTTCGTTCTTTCTTCTACCCCGCTTCTCCTTGTGATGACAAAAGCTAACTTGAAGCGGGGTTGAGGATTGAACGCTGTTTTCGTCATGTATCCGGGAAGATGGATTTTCTTGCGCTCGTCCATCTTCTCTGCCATTTTTGTTCAGAACTTCTTCATGTGTTCTAGAGACCTATCTGAATTTCAATACAGATGCGAGATACGCAGAGACCTGCTAGAACACATGAAGTAGGTCTGAGCAAAAATAGCGAAGAGAGAATGGACAAACGCACGATAGCCCATCTTCCCGGATACATGACGAAAACAGCGTTCAATCCTCAACCCCGCTTCAAGTTAGCTTTTGTCATCACAAGGAGAAGCGGGGTAGAAGAAAGAACGAAAAAGCAACAGTATGGAAAAACGAAAGGGGCTGAGAACGCCCAAAATCATCAAAAGCAAGAGATAAGTCCCAATTCAAGCAGTTTGAGAATTGCTCCTACTCCCTAATTCGTGGCAGATGGCTATGGAAACTAGCAGCCGCTTCCTGGAAAAAATGAAATTGTCTTAAGCAAAAATCAAAACCAAAATCAAGAGAGAATGGACGAACACAAAAACACTCATTTTGTCGCATACGCAGAGCAGAAATGAGCTCATTCTTCAACCCTGCTTCGAGATAGAAGTTCTGCTGATGAAAATGGGAAGCGGGGTGGAGGAATAAGGCCAAAATGAGGGAAATCTGATAGAAAAACCGTTGAGAACGGTCAAAATTTTCCAACTCCCGCCGTTCAAAACGGTGCGGGGCGGCTGCAGCGCATGCAGCACAGTTCTGGAACTGTTCCCGCACAGTTCCAGCACAGTGCGAGAACTGTGCGGGAACAGTTCCAGACCATGGGAATCACTATGAACCCAGCCTTAACGAAAAGAATCTAAAGAACAAACTGTGAGAAACTGAAAGGAAACTTCTGAACATTAAAAAAATTCTGAACTCCTGAAAATGTAGTACATTCACGGACAGTATTTCTTTGATTTAAAAGGAAATATCCACTTATACAAGGTGGGCAAGTGTCAAACTACCGAACTCCCAAATTTTCTATATATGTATATTAATATATATAAAATATAAAGTCTGTCAATATATAAAAACTATGTTCATTATGACCTTTATCTGAGTGGTTCGAGTGGGATCAATTCTGCACCCACACAATTTTGCCACGGTGTTTACCACAAAAGCGATAAACTGGGTCGTTCTACCGATCTAGTGATTTGTTTACTTACATCCAGGAAAATGAAAGTATATCATGGCTTATCAGATATTTTCCCGCAGCCATGAAAGCATAGCTTAGAGCTCATTTCTCCAAAGTGGCAGCAAGCGTTGTTTCACCAGCGACAAGTTGAAGAAAGGTGTTTGCTACTCAGAAGCATGGAGCTGGTCAGAAGAGGTAGGATGGAGTTACTAATATTTCAGCGAACTCTAAGCTGGCAGCTGGGATCGGTACGAGGGGATAAGCGAGCTTAGATTACAAATAAATTCCCAGCATAATTTTCGGCTGCCTTCAACGTATTCATCCTTTTTCGCTACCAGTGAGCTGAAAGCTGAGATTGATGTATAGCGGTAGGCGAGATTGCTGACTAAGGATGTCAGCTTTTATCTGTTTTTACGATTTTGCAAATTTCGACTGGGAAAATGAAAGATGGACAAGAAAGATACTGTTGGTAAAGATGTCGGCTCAGTGCTTTTGGGAGCTGGGACAGGGAATCCCGACAAGCTGGTTGAAGGGGAGGGTGGACTACCGTGATTTACTAACAACGACCGAGCGAAGCCGTGATATCAGCTAGTGTGAGAGATTCCTAGTTCATGTATGCCGAAAGTTCGTACAAATGAACTAATCTCAAAACTCCCTTTGCTCTTTGGTAAAATCCAAAATTTTGCAAGTTGACCTCCGAACGGAAAGTGCGCAT